ATTGTCTGATACATGTCAAGAACCAATGCTAAACAGACGTGAGTCGCCTTAAGGAATGCATTTGAAGACAAAGGCTTAAACAATTGTTGTAGATTACTATCGAGGCTAGTTAGCGACAAGCTTGAAAATTTTTCAACTGTATGAGATTACGTCAATTCGGTAATGACAACATCTCAAGAGCTGTCAGATCTTGGAAAAGAGGTAGATGATTAGCTTTTGGCTGCATTATTACTCAAAGGCCTAACACAGGATTTTCAACCTATGAGACTAGCGATAGAAAATAGTAACATTGAGCTTACTACTGATTATGTCAAAACCAAACTTTTCCGAATGGAAGAAACATTCCTACTTCTACGTCTGGTACTCTGACATCCTCTGCTTTGTTATCCAAACAGAAAAACAAAAAAACCTCAAACACATGCTAAGAAAATTAAATGTTTCACCTGTAACTGACCACAAAAATAACCCAACAAAACGGAAAGAAGCGCTGAATACGTTTACTTTGGCATTTGAAGTTTCTCAAGACGAATGGATCCTCGATTCTGGTGCTTCGTCACACATGACTCATAAAAAGGAGTAGTTTAAGGACTATAAGAGTATTAATACTATCACAGTGTTAATGTACAAATGGTGCTAAAATATATGGAGAAGGAAAAGGCAAAGTAGTATGCAAGTTATTAGGGATAACTGTAAGTAATGTTATGTATATACCTAAATTATCAACTAATTTACTGAGTGTAGAGAGAAAGGGTATGTAATAGTATTTAGTCACAAGAGGTGTGAACTATTTAAAAGTGATGAATGCAAGATTACTGGTACAGCATTTATCAAAAGTGTAGAAGAGAAAGGCGTATATAAGTTGAAACAAAGCTGTTTACAGGGTTCTGCTCTCGCGTCCACAACTGAGCGCAATGAGATGTTGGACCTGTGGCACCAAAGCATGGGATGTCTTGGTATACGCAATCTCTTATTATTAAAAAACAAAATGGCAACAGGGGTAAGTTTTCCTGAAAACTGCTTGAAACTCCAGTGTGTATCTTGTTTAATGGGAAAACAATCGAAACAACCTAGGAAAAAGAACACAGGTACTGTTCGAGCCACAGACGTGCTAGGTCTGATCCACTCAGATGTCTGTGAATATATGAGTGAAATGTCTTTCGGCAAACGTCGTTACTTTCTCACCTTTATCGACGATTTCAAGCGTAAAACGTTTGTGTATTTCTTAAAGCATAAAAGTGAAGTTTGCGAGAAATTTCTAGAATTGAAAGCACTTGTTGAAACACAAACTGGTAAAAAGATCAAAGCACTTAGGAGCGTCAATGGGAAAGACTTTGTCAACCAAAGAATGAACAATTTCTTAAAATTCAACGGCATAGAACACCAGCTCACCGTGGAGTATACCGCAGAGAAAACGGCGTCGCCGAACGAGCCAATCGTACAATATGTGAAAAGAGCACATCAATGTTGAACGGTCTTCAAAGGAAATTTTGGGCAGAAGCTGTCCAACATGCCGTCTATTTAAAGAATAGACACCTACTATAGCTTTGAAAAATGAAACGCCAGAAGAAACATGGACAGGAAAGAAGTGTAACCTAGATAATATCAAGGTTTTCAGATGCAAAGCCTTCATAGACATTCCTGACCAAAAACGGAAGAAGTTTGATCCTAAAAGCCGAGAGTTAGTCCATGTAGGGTGTTGGGAAAATGCCAAAGCCTACCGACTATTAGATCCTATAACTGGTAGAGTATATAAAGCAAAGGATGTGGTATTATTTGAAGATCAATTATATAAACGCAATGAATTCTCACTCAGGTGCAGAACTTCAGGTTCAAGTGGATCATCAACTAGTGGAAGAAGTCCACTTACCCAGTTCTGAAATATCTACAGAGGTAGATATCATCATAGGCAGATATCAGAAAAGATGATGAGTTACCTCAAGCTAAAGCAGAAACTCAAATTGTTGATCAAACTGAAGACGATAACTACGTGTCAGCTGATGAAAGAGAACGAGCAGAGCCTGTGATTGAAAGGAGGTATCCTTTAAGAGAAAGGAAAACCAAGCAGTTCCCTGATTACATTTTGTATCATGCAACTGAAATGGAAAACTGAAGGTTCCATTTAATTTTGAAGAAAATCATCCACCTCTAAGGGTGGCTGTTCACGCATGAAGACTCATTTTTATAAATAGCGCCTAAATTTTATTACAAGGAACAATTATTTTAATGGTTGATTTTGCTACTCTCCAATTCAAGGCGTTTTTCTCTCTCAATATACTTTGAGTATTGACAACCGATTTTTATTATCTCTTGTATCAAGTCACGTATAGTGGCGAACTAAGGGATGAATCCGGGTTTGCGCACTTTCCGATAACAGATTTTAATAAAACTTGGTAATTATATGTAATTCCAGGTACTTTTGAGGTCGGTTTTTATAGTACACTGTACTGAGATTATTAACCCAACGTTTCGACCTCTTTCACAAATCTCATGGTCATGGCTCACCGTATATTTTTTGTTTAAATTCAATAATTAAATAAATTTTTTAATTGTATAATTTCAATAAAGAAATATACGCGATTTTAGATCCTATTGTAAAATTAATTTCATATCAAAATTACTGTAGCAGTCCAAAAAATATAATAGCCGAGCACTTTTTTACAAGTATATTCACAGAGCGGTGCACCGATCAGTGTCCTTATGTTGAAAAGGCGCCCCAGCACGGATATCTCTAGGGACGATATCGGACGAGGTTGTACGTTTTCATTATATATTACTTGACGTTATAGAAGTGAGGGGCAGGAAACTTTAAAAATAATTTACCTATACACTTTCATCAAAGATTATAAAAATGCTAAATAAAAGTAGGAAGGTATAACATTGGTCCGGGATGCATATTCGACATGTATGTTGATAAATAATTTAATATTGGTCATGGTTAGTAAGTAGTATATGTTTTGTATGTATGTATAGTAACTCCATAAACACGTAGCAGCGTACACGCCTCGCATATATACTTCTCGCTTGCGTATATATATATATATATATACGATGAGGCTCAATTTACATTGCCCATTAAGCTACGATGTGACTGACGCGACGAGACGGTGGCACGCCTTTGTTCCAAAATGCACTTCTAACCTTAAACAGTGGAAAAGGGATACGTACACCGTAGTATGCGCATAGGTTCCATAAATAAGGGATATAACATTAGTATATAATATATGAGATACCTGAATGCGGAAAATTGAAAGGTGACTAACCATCTGCAAAAACTATAAGACTTCCAGGATAACTATTTGAACTTTTACGAGATATTATAACTCACTGTTTAGCAAACATTAGCTTTTTAACCGGCTTCAAAAAAAGTAGGAGGTTCTCAATTCGACTGTATGTTTTTCTTTTTTTTTATGTCTGTTACGCGATAACTCCGGTATTTGTGAACCGATTTCCATGATTCTTTTTTGTTGCAAAGAGAGTACCTCCATAGTAGTCACATATAATTTTGAAGAATATCATCCAACTCTAAGGGTGGCGGTTCACGCATGAAGTTTTATTTTTATAAATAGCGCCTAAATTTTATTACAAGGAGCAATTATTTTAATGGTTGATTTTGCTATTCTTTAATTCAAGGCGTTTTTCTCTCTCAATATACTTTGAGTTGTGAGAACCGATTTTTATTATCTCCTGTGTCAAGTCCCGTATAGTGGCGAACTAGGGGATGAATACGGGTTCGCGCATTTTCCGGAAACCGATTTCAATAAAACTTGGTAATTACGTGTAATTCCACGTACTTTTGAGTCGGTTTTTTTAGTACTCTGTACTGAGATTATTAAAAGTAACAACTTTGGCGAAGACATGCTGTTTATGAAGCAGTAGAGCTCCTTGTGAAAGAGTTCGTCCACGGAAGTAATGCCACGTTACCTATTTCTGCCGCCAAGCAATGTGAGAGAATGAGTTCATTGTTGCTTTAATTGGCAGTTGAAGAACTATGATACACAACGCCATCTCCATGAATGTTTCCTAAAGATCAGTTGTAGAAACCCAAATGTTTACCATGAGGCCATATGGTAGGTTTGTCCGGACATTGAGGCTTGATAAGGCATCATCATTATCATCATTATTCACAGTCTGATTTCACCCACTGCTGGGTATAGGCCTCCCGAAGTTTGTGCCATCCATCATGATCCCGTGCTAGCCGGATCCATTGACGCCCCGCGACGCGTACTATGTCGTTGACCCACCTTGCAACAGTGCGCTTGACGCATCTTGTGCCCATCCTTGGACACCAATCAGTCGAGCTAGGTGTCCCGACCATCCCCATTTGAGTTCCATGATCCGAGTTCCAGCATCCTGGACTTTCGTCCATCGTCGGATCTCAACGTTTGGAACTCGGTCTACAAGGCTGATGGCAACTCTCAAGTTGTATACAGTCTCCTGCGTAAGCGTCCACGTCTCGTCACCATACGTCATGGTGGGCAGAACATATTGATTAAACAAGCGGGTCTTCAGACACTGTAGAACCATACCTGATTTAAGAATGTCACCTAACTTGCTAAACGCAGCCCATCCCAGCTTGACTCTTCTTTTTGAGATCTCTTTAGGCTGATACTCTTTGCCAAAGGACAGAACATGTCCGAGACAGACGTACTAATCGACTCTCTCCAGCCTCTCATTTCCCACCGTGACAGTGGTATTTAACGGACTGGAGAGATTCGCCATAATCTTTGGACATATTCATCCTTAGGCCAACTCTCAAAGAAGCATCATATAGTTGTTCCAGCATCCTTTGGAGATCGTCGAAGCTTGCAAATAGCACGAGATTGTCCGCGAATCTTACGTGAGACAAATGGTGTTACACCATAGATGTTAATGCGGCGGTTATCCCATTTAAGGGTTTTTACGACATCCTCAAGTTCTCGCCGGATTGGAACGGGATTGGTTAAATCGTGAACTCGTACCTGCAGAGTGGCTGAACGGTAGAGCTACTGGGGCACATCCACCTAGCGGGAGTCGATGTGGCAGCGATAAGGAGCGTGGAACACGGCCCAATGTTTGATACTGTCAAAGGCCTTCTCATAATCGACGAAGGCCATGACAAGGGGCCGGTTAAATTCGAGACATTTCCCCATCAGCTGATTCACCGTGTGGATATGGTAGATGGTTGAGAAGCCGCTCCGAAAGCCAGCCTGCTCAATAGGCTGCGCTTCGTCAAGTTCACTGGTAAGCCAGGTGGTCAAAATCTTTGTAAAAAGTTTATAAATCTGAGAGAGCAAGCTAATCGGCCGATAATTGCTAAGTTTTGCAATGTCGCCTTTTTTGTGGATGATGGTGACGATGGCATTCCTCCATTGCTCTGGTGTTCGAGCTTCACGAAGAACTTTGTTGAAAAGTTTCACAAGCACTTTTACCACAGGATTTCCTCATGCTTTGAGTAGTTGAACTGAAACACCATCATCTCATCATCATCAGATGATGGTGTTTATAAGGCACGGAGTACTAATTTAGAGTTATTACTCTTTCTTCAAATAACCTGAAGAAAATTCGTGTTACTAAGAAAAGGCTTCATATACTAAAGAATGAGCCAGTCTTTTTGAACAATTTCGTAATGTACACATTTAATTTGAATATTATTACCGGCAGTTTTTAACGCCAGATGATCGAATCAATATCAGTAATGTCATTCCCAAACGACTCTGATTGATCTGTCTTGTGTCTATAAAAATCTACCAACTCCATCCGGGGCACCCGCGATTATTGCGAGTGTGGCCATGGCAAGGGTGCCCAGGAGTTGGAGGATTATTAAATAGAACTGCAGATCAAAGTGTCATTTGGAAACAACATTACTGATATTGATTCCTTTATCTGGTATTGAAACCTGCCATTGATAATATTAAAATTAAACCTGTAGAAAATTACGAAATTGTAGAAACTGAACGACTACTACGAAATTGTAAAGACTGGCCTTTTCCTGGTAACATAAATTTTCTACAGGTTGTAAATAAATTTTATTGAATATCAAGATGATTCACCACTATGATATTCAATTATTTTTTGTGAAATTACTCCACAAGTTAGTTATAATTGTACCAAGTGTTATTTCTTCAGGTTATTTGGAGAAAAGTAACAACTCTAAATTAGCATTCTGTGCCTTATTTTGCATCAAGCCTCAATGTCTCGATAAACCCACCGCATGTCCTCATGGTAAACATTTGAGTTTCTACAATTTATCTTCAGAAAACATTCCTGGAGATAGCGTAGTGTATCGTAGTTATTCAACTGCAATTGAAAACAACAATGAACAAAGTTTTCGTGTTTGACGTTCTCAACAAAATCATTTAATCAATGATATCACCGTTAATTTAAGTAAAATACAAATTTAAAAGATCGCTAAAGTACAAATAGATCAAAAAGCAATTAAGTAATTTTTAGTTATTTGAAAAATTATGAATAACACTATCTTTCTTAAGTTTATTGGGACAAATAAACCACAATACTTTAAAACAATTTTCGAAAGTGAACGTTATATTCAAAAATATCATAACAATTTAAAATTTGGTGGCGTTTTTAAGTTAAGGTGCCAAACGCCACCAAAACACCAAATTTGAGTCACGTAAGATGAAATCTCAAAAAACAAATTACGGGAAAAAAGTAAAAGCAAAATTTAAAAGTAAGTAAGTAAAAAGCAAAAAATAATGACAAAATTAGTCTCCTAATTTGGTTTCATAATACGACCTTAGGATAAAATAAAAATTGAGCCCAAATGGAGCCAGGAAAGCTGAATATTTTTTGTCCCACGTGCCACCAAAGGGAATATAATTTACTTTTTTGGCGGGAAATGGAACACAGTGCCCATGTTTTTCGCTGCCAGGTCCTAATACACGACTGAGGCTTGCGCGGGGCAAGATCGTAATGGTTTTTATTTAAACTACTTACCAGTTGCTACCAGTTGAATATTTGCCACCAAAACTACAATTTTCGCGTAGACAAAGTTTGATCAAGTACCCAGTCTCCCACATACTGGTAATTGCAATACTTTCAATGATTTTAGTTAGTGCTTCTAATAGTGAATAACATACATGGAATTGTGGAATTGTTTTTGTTAAAAGCGTACACATTTTACCAGAACGACTATTTTATACAATGAAAATAGAAAGTGGACACACCAGCACAATTGAAAATCGGGACATTAATATTTTTTATTAATTATTATTGTACAATGAATTTTCTGAAATTCTTGCCCTAAACAAATTTACGTCTATTTAAACTATAATCATTAATATTTCTTCACTTTACACCTTGTTTCTCAGCCTGGACTCGCAAAATTTACGCATGAGATATTCACCCATTTATGGAACCGATCCGCATACTACGGTGTACGTATCCCTTTTCCACCGTTTAAGGTTAGAAGTGCATTTTTGAACAAACGCGTGCTACCGTCTCGTCGCGTCAGTCACATCGTAGCTTAATCGGCAATGTAAATTGACCCTTATCGTACAAATTAAACACTAGACCAAATTCTCGAGGTTGCGCGAGATATTCCGAAAAACGCGTGACATGTTTTTTGGCTCGTACCTAATTTGGACGTTACACAATTGACATACAGTTTATTATGCCATGTACTGTCGCGTTGCAAAAATTCGCCTTCACTCTACGTCACTCTCGCGCAAGTCGCGCCCTGTCATGCTAGCCCCACTGGAAAATGACTGCCGCTTCTCCCCAGCTTCCCGCTCCTCACACCCCGCGGTCGATGGTTATAATATATTTTATAGAAAAACAAACAAGGGATTCTTCTGAATTATGATAATCAAAAATTAATGTAGTCAGTATAATTAAAAATAAATTTAAATGAAACAGAGAAAAAAAAATCAACTGTGCGCCCCAATGGGTTATTTTGTTACTTACACTTAGAAAAATACTTCCCATGACAGTCTTTATTGCTATAGAACTACAAAATGTAAATGAATTTCGTCGGCTAAATTTTAAAATCTCGTAACTCCATTATTGGACTAAATCCCTTTTTTAGTTTTCAAGCGCAATTTCGAGCAAAATACAATTTACAGACTTTCTTTTATAAAAGTACAATTATAGATTGTCGCATAGTTATTTTTAGTAATTCTGTTTTTGTGCCTACATAAGAAGTTACGAGAATTAGGAATTTTGTAATTTCGTGATGTTAAAAACTTATGGAACTAAACACCTCTTTTGGCACTCAGCTCAAGACTTTTTCGGACTGTTTCTATAATGAATATTATACTTAAGAGAAAAATATTCACCGACGTATTTGAAAGAACGCTACAAAAGGTTGAATTATGATATGATAACAACGTTCACTATAAACCACTGGCCACATACCAGAACCTTCAATCGAAATCAAAAGGTGAAGTCCATTGACTTACAAATAAATGGACGACGGGTCTAATACAAAAACCACGAAAAAAATGTCCCAAGTCAACCTATTCGAAATTTAAATTGTAATGTCATCGAAGTATCGCGCTGTCAGTAGAACAAATGAAGACTAAAGCGGAGTGTCGCGCTCTGTATACGATTTTAGCGCCTTACAAGTGCGGACACTTTTTAGCGCGGACCCGACGTCCATATAATTGTAAGTCAATGGTGAAGTCATTATTATTTCAAATAAAGCTTTCTGATAAGTGGCCATTGGTTCATGTGAACATTGTTATCATAATTGTAACAAACGAATTGTTTAGTAGCAGTAGAGGTCCTTGTGACAGAGTTCGTCCAGAGAAGTATTGCCACCTTATCTATTTCTGCCGCCAAGCAATAATGTCAGCATTACTGTGTTCCGGTTTTGAAGGGTAAGGGTGCTGGCGAAATTAGAGACACATCGGACTTTTCAACTTATTTCTCAAGGTTCCGGGCGCAGTGAAAGTGCCCCTCAGATCTTTGCGATTTAAAGCTCTGAGTGGCACTGCAACTGTTATGGACAGTCTTGTAGCTTACCAACAGGCGCACGACTTGTTCGTCTCGTCACTTGATATCATAAAAGAAAACTAGAGGAGTAATTTCACAATACAAAATTGAATATCATGGTAGTAAAACATCTTGACATTCAATAAATTAAAAAAAATACAATTAAGGCGACAACTCTAGTCAGCTATGGTAGCTGTAAAGGTACCTACCTCGCTGAGTAAAGAAATAAATTTCTCATATATGGCGCAAAACAAAGATTTGCAAGAAGCACATAGAAAAAAATGTTAGGTCTGCTGGTTCGTTCCGTGGTTTAATTGGCAGAGCATCTCACACGGATTGCCTGAATGTGCTGGTTCGAATCCGGCTGGATTTGAATGAAAGGATTTGATTGAATTTCAATTATTCAATAGGTACATAATATTTCGATTTTGACTGAGAATTATAATAATTTCCTGAAAAAAATATTGTTGTTTACGTATCATTAATTTGTATTATCGGCCTTTTGAAAAAAGTAAGACAGTCGATACACAAGGGTTTGTTACATATATTCTCTAATGATGTTTTCCTTTATTATCAAAAATGCATTAAGTAATGTAATTTTATTGCAATAGACTTTGCAAAGTTAATTCTACTATAAAATTCTTATAAAGGCTCCATAAATCTTTATTCAACCCAGATTTAAAATAATTTATATAACGATTAGTGTCAGATCGTCCGAGTCATCCGTTAGCTCACTCTCTAGAGGTATTAGTGCCGCTAATACAGAATAAAGTAATTGAATTTCACTTTAGCCGTTGTTAGTTACTGGTTGTCGTAGAACATAAACAGTCACAAAATTTTGTCGAGGAAAGTACTGTCACCATACCTGTGCCGGCTCCTGTTCCAATCAGTAACGTGAGCATTGCTGTGTTCCGGTTTTGATAGAGTGGGCGCAGTGGAGTTGCTCCTTGGGGCTTCGCATTTAAAGCTTTAAGTGGAACTGCAAAACGTGGTATAGATAGGTGTGTCTCATTTTTTTTTTGTTGTTTTTGACGGTTGACGTTTTTAGACGGAAAATCACGTGTTTTGCCGAAAACAGTACTAAATTATCAGTCATACTGACGTATGTTAACATATTGAACAGTGTGTCATTTATCTTCAAGGAACTATAAAATTTAAAATAATCATAGCATTATTAAAATGTTCCAGCAACCTCTAAAATTGTACAAGTGTATGAGAGACAAAATTTCTAATTTCCCAATGGTTGACTTTGGCAAAATGAGATCAGTGTAATTGTATTTGACAGGACATTATGTTAAGATTTCATAGTTATTTCATTGCGTTAATTTACCTTCATGCCAATAAATAAAAAAACAAAAGCCAAATTCAAGCAAGATGCTTTTATTAAAATTAATAAGTACATTTACGATAAGACTGCAAAAAAACTTAACATAAAATGAAACTTAAATGTCACACGATCATAAGATATTTATTATAGTTTTAAATACCATTAATAAATATTTCCATCTTGCAGCGATAATAACCCCTTTAAACACTTTATCTTCCGAATAATGTAACACCCTTGGTGGCATTTTCTCAATGCACAATATCTTCAGGTACCAATAGTTGACACTAGTTACGTCCTAGTGTTTGACACCTCAATATAACGACTGTCAAGCATTGGGTGGCCATAGTAAAAAAGTCTTTGACACTCATGTCAAACACTACTCCAAACTACTCATAGAAACTTGTCACTAACCGAGTAATCCAAACCAACGTTCTTCGTCCTTACCAAATGGTCGAAATTAAGTTTTAAAACATGTGCCATTATACGAATGCTTGACATGGGTGTCAACTACTACTAAACGTTGTAATTTTGCACCAGTGTTTGACATGCCTTTAAAATAAAATATAAACGATTTAAATCAATAAATACACACACAATAAATTCTTTGTACAGTTATATCATAGTTTTAATTTAATAAACAATTGCAGATAATTAACAAAATTCCGACTTATAAATGCACTAAAGTCTTAACAATTTTTGGAAGAACACCAATGCGCTTTCAACTCGGATCACCTTTTCGCAGAAATTGTTGTCATACTGAAAAAAACATTGAGTGAATCGAAGAAAGCTTCTAAGCCGAATTCATGTATGTCATTACTAGTAAATTTAAAACGGTTTTGGAGATATAACAATATTTGTTTCTTATTTGAAAAAAAAAATGAAGAAATGTCATACATTGGGACAGTGTTAAAAATTGCTACATTTACCTTACCAATTATAGTTACATTATTGCAGAGGCCGGGAGGTAAGGGATTGCTGAACTTTTTTTTTAAAAAGTAAGCGGTTTTCATTTGCCTGTTTATAGTAGTTCATTGTTAGTAGATAGATTTAAAAGTTTAGAGAAGCGAACAGCAATGGATTTTTATAATTATTTTGCAAATGACAAACATTCCGTGTACGTTTTTGAAAATAAACGCAAATATTTCCGACCATGATTGAGAAAAATAATTTACTTAGCACTCTTAAGTATAAAAAGGTTTGTTTGAGTCTTGCAACTCTTACCAACTATTTGATCTACTTACTATATTGATGTTGGACAACCTGATAAAGGTGGCTAGTGGCAGCTGGATGCGGGCGGCACAGGACCGGGAATGTTGGCGTGCTCAAGGGGAGGCCTATGTCCACCAGTGAATGCGTGTGAACTAATGACTGACTATATTGTTTATGAAGTTCATGACGGTCTCTGTGGTCGAGTGGCTCGCACATCGGTTTTCATGTTGTCGCCATCTTTGATGTTTCGGGTCAGATCCCCGGCCGGGTCAATGTAGGAAACTAAATTTTCTGATTATCTCGGGACTGGGCGTTTGTGATATCGTCGTTGTATCTAATTTCCATAACACAAGTGCTTTAGATACTTACTTTGAGATCAGAGCAACGTATATGTTGTCTAATATTTGTTTATTTATAAATAATTTTATACAGATTTAAGTAATATATAATTTATTGAGTTCCGACCAGCTATACGGTAACGATTTGAGCTGTTCTATATACGTATCGTTCGCCGGTTATTGAACCTGAGTCCCTGATCCCGGTCGATCGTGGCATTGCCGAGGTATATTGTCTCTCCCATTTTAAAACTTAAAACTCTTAATTTCAGGTTAAGAGAGAGATGAAAGTCTAAAATAGATATTCGAAATAATAATAATATATCAAACAATCACAACATAAATAATTGCCTCAAACTAGGGAGTTTCCTGTACTATGACAACCAGAGCAATGAAATTAACTCCGGAGCACTAATCAAAACACCCAGACTAGAACCAATTTAGAAAAGTTATCCAAATAGTGTCCTACCGGTAATCGAAACCAGGACATTCCCATATACGTTGCCCGCAATATTAATCGTTGGGTCGCCTCGGTCACCAATCTATGAATAACTATTATATCTACAGGGTAACCCCAAAAGGTCTGTGAGATTTTTAAGGGATGTTTCAACCCATCAACTCGTGTTCACTTTTTCAATGGCGACCCCTCTCAAATGGCTTCTCAAGTAGATATGAACATTTATTTTGAAAGAAATTTACTTCATTCAGACCCTACACAAAGAAGCGAACTATTTCCAAAATAGAGATAGATAAAACTATATTATTATTATAGAGTTCTTAGGTTTTTGTGATTGCTATTGTCAGCCGTGACCATGAGACCCGAGAGTAAAAAAATGTTGATTCTTTTTTTTTCAAGGTAGACTACAGTATCAAATTAGTTGTTACCGCTTCAATTGGACACCTCTTAAGTTTAGACGGTATGTACTTGTATCAACTTGAAATTATCTCTATTAATAAATAGTAAATAACGCGCATACACTCCTAGCCCCGCACTAGACACACACATAGACAACCACAAATTACACCCAAACTCACTAGAGAAATAAATGTAGGCCATACAAATATTTCTCCCGGCCCGGGAATCTAACTCGAGACCTCTGCGTCCGGCAGTCCGGCCACGAAGGCAGTTATTTACTTTATTTCCTAAGTAAGCAATTAATATTTGAAATCATCAAAATTAATTAATTAATCACTACTTATTGCTCATTCGTAAGACCATAAACCATTAACTCAAGAGGATTGCTAACCTCCATACTACAGAGATCGTAACTCGGAAAAAGGTCAAAATCCCGTCTTATATCCAGATGGCGCTGATCGTCATCAGCTAACACTTATCCACTGCTGCACGCCAACTGGGTGCAGTCTTGTGCCGCCCGCATCCAGCCGCTGCCGGCTGACGACCTTGCTCAGGTCGTCCGTCCTTCTTGCCGCAAGGCAAGGCGTCCCGCGCTTCGTTTTCCTTGACGTGGTCACCATTCCAGAACAAGTTTGTTCCATCGGCGATCAAACCTCCTGCAGACATGCCCGGCCCATTGCCACTTAAGCTTACTTACTGATTTTGCGAGCTGTCGGTCACTTTAGTTCTCTGACGTATGACCTCGTTAGGAAGTAGTTTATATTATTAATTCCTCTTTAATGTGAAATACAAGTAGTCAGTTTTTTCCTTGTAATATTATTCAAATATTGACCCTGAGCTAAAATTATTGTCTGAACTTTTACAAGTACGCGTATCAATACGGATGGTATTATGTGTTAGTAACTAATTTAAAAATTAATGGATGCTAATATAGGTAGATGGCGCTTATCCTAAACAAAATAAAAGAACAGCCGGCAGTATCTATAAAAATCTGGAAAATAAGCGCCATCTAGTTGATTTGTTTGTTATCACTAGAAATGAGAGAAGCATTGATAAATTGTATCTCTTCAATGTAAAACAAATTAGTTACAAAATAGCTATTTGGTACTCGTGGCGACATCTGTTGTACTAGTAGGTACAAAATACTCGACTGTGTTGTCGGGTATTGATAATCGTGCTATATCGCTATTAACAATCCTCTTGAATTATTGTTCCATGGTAAGACAGATTCTTTCGAAAAAACGTGGATAAGAAACTCGAGAGATTGCTTTAATATTCTTAGTGTTTAAAATAATAAAAAAATAAATAAATAAATAAAAAAAATAGATACTAGTTTCAATTTATTACTTACAATAGTTATTTCGAATAGATAGATAGATACAACCTGAAAGAGTTAAACAAATAACTACCATTTTTTTTACTTGGGGGAATCTGTTTACAGATTATGTGGGACTAGGCTGAATCCTGAAGCGGAGCAGCCCAACCGTACCAAACCCCCGGGGTGTTCCTCCTCTTTGTTGTAGGTGGAGGTATGGGTACGTTATTGCGCTTGTGCGCGCCTCCACCAGGAACGAATAACTAACATGGATTTTTGTCATCCGAGTACGTAGAAGCTGTACCCTTTTCTTATTTATTAATCATATATAATTAATTATATTTAATAATCATTTGTTATACTTATTAATACTGGACGAACCAACGTCTTTGTCATATCAGGGTAACACATATTATTTGTATTCATAATTTGGTAGCAGTAGAGCTCCTTGTAACAGAGTTCGTCCAGGGAAGTACTGCCACCTAACCAATTTCTGCCGCCAAGCAGTTATGTCAGCATTACTGTGTTCCGGTTTTGAAGGGTAAAGATGCTGGTGAATTTATAGGCACATGAGACTTATCAACTTATATCTCAGGGTGACGGGTCCAGTGACTGCCGTTCAGATCTTTGCGATTTAAGGCTCTGAGTGGCACTGCAACTGTTGTGGACAGGCGTGTAGCTTACCATAAGGTGCACGACTTGTCACAGTCCCATCCCATCATTTGACATTATAAAAAAAATTATAACATAGTGGTGGAAACAATTTAACAAAAAATAAATAAGTAATAGTAAAACGTCATAATATTCATTCCAATCAATATCTTAGTCATTTATTTCCAATAAAAATTGCGTCTATATTAGTTTACTTATAATGTGTTAGGCCACTGTGAAAGAGCGGAACGTACTCCAAAAAAACAAACACCTACACTTGATTTAGATCCGAATAACAAGTTTCATTTTCATTACATTTGTACATCAAAACTTATGTGTATGAAAGGCTGTACTTAATAAAGTTATTTCTTTTTCACGTTTAGTTTTACTCCTTGCGATCTGAGTAGATACGAGCATAACAATGAACGCGGCAAAAACTATTATTTCCTCTAGAGTGTACTCCATATTCAGCAAAAGAGAACAACAGCCACAAAGATGACTTTTACGCAACAAAGTTTCTTTACTTATAAATGTCTCCCAGGGTACATTATTTAAGCATACGTTACACATAATGATAATGGATCTGTCAAGGCAGAGTGGAGAAAAGCTGTACTTGAGTAACCAATAGCATTTTATTGTTTGAGCTAAGAATTGCAGATTATTGAAATAAATAAATATAATGAAGGCCGAAGAAAGATTCGACGGCTGAGCGTCGAGCAATCAACAGCCCCTGAGGATGTCTCGTGGAGAGGCGAAACACGTATCGGGTATATTTTTGGTGGTGGTGTTTGTGGCTGTAGTTGCGCTTGTGTTATTTATTTTATTAATTTTATTCGGAGTGAAAAAATATTCAACAGAAGCGCAACTATTTTGCACTACTTATTATAAACTTCACTGGGTTCGCGGAATAGCAAAAATAATTTATTTCCATTTTTAATAACATAAGGTTCCGCAAAGTAACGCCTGAATCTATTAAATACCATATCTTGATAAAACACAGCACTCAGCTAAGAGGAAGCTAATTAATTATCATTAAGACTTAGTTTCTTCTTATTTCGGTCTTTTTTATACGTTACCGTCTAATTTCTCGTGTGCTCTTACGAATAAACAAATAATTTCGCTGATTGCACGTAAACTAGGGGCACAAGAGCTTACTTTATTGATGCACGCGTGATTAAATTATCAAGACAAATACCACTGTAAGACGATATATCGCAAAAATCTACACGATGTCGTATCCCTTCAACAGATTTTCAATATTGATCAATGTAAATTCAACTAACTCTCCATGGTTATTGTTCTTGAGATTGTAGATGTTATAGTATATTTTTGAATAAGAACGTAGGTACTTTATTCCACTTTATTAATAGAAGTTGTGATGGTAGTACTATATTGAGATTTAGTGGCAATGACGTTGCCTATTGGCCAAATATCCTTTCAGTTTGGCCCTATTCGAGTTATTTCAAAAAATATGTTTGTTTTTCTTCGTTTCCTTATATCGTATTGCCAATATAAACCAATGTATGATCATTGTATTCCGGTTCATATTACGTCTCTATTATTATCAAAAGGTCTGAAGGGAGAATGATCACTTTTTATCCAAACTTTTTTATTATTTCTGTCACGTCTTGACGTCTAGTTTGGGATGGGTCTATGTGATGTATTTGCAGCTATTTTATAGGTTAACTGCCATTTCTTTGCGTCGTTTCTCTTAACGTTTTCCTCGTCACTTGATAGTATCCATCTATAGTAAAAAAACTACAATGGTTTCTATCTAACGTTGAAGAAAATTTAAAAATGGTAAAATTTTATTTTACCCACGCCTTCTAATCAAGTATGTATAGTGTCAAGAATACGTTAAGTTTGAAACGATACAAATCCCAAAGTGTCAAGCTGAAACATTAACCAAAACGAAATTACCAATACCAAATTGAGAATGTCAGGTCAAAATTACCCTTGACCGACAAAAGTATATGAAGGTATTGATGCCTGTTGACGAGTGGCGAAAGATACGTGCTGGGATCGTAGCAACTGTGACGTCCTGGTCGCTGCCTACTCTGATAGGAAAAATGCATGAAGTATATGTACGTATATAAACTTCTTAACACATTGAAAATACCTAGTTTAATTGTGACAAGGATGGTCTACGGATCTTCTTGTGTATGCCACCACTTGTGGAGCGAGTATAAAACGAAAGATAAAGCGAAACCCCAAGGTCCTTGGATATCTCTAAAGGCTTTTTATAAATACCCGAGATTTACACGAAGCGTCATGCTTCCACGTTTAAATGGCGTACCTTCGGCTTTGAAGTGCAATTCCCTGCCGGTAGATTTGTTTCCTGAAAACTATAACTTGAGCCTTGTCAAGGCGAGAGTGAATAGACCTCATGTAAGTGTACATGTTCCATCGGCGACTCCATCGTCATTTTCCATCAGCCGCAGAGTTTGAAATTTTATGGATCAATTAAGTGTTTAATTGTCTGGTTTTGTAAATTCAATACATTTTTAAATACATGAGCAATAAACAGCGCTATTAAAGCGCAAAACACACAGTGAACGGGTGCGGGTCGGGCGCGTGTCGGGTCGGAAGCATGGTGGATGTAATTCCGTGTATTTATATGGACGACAACACACCACACACGAGCGTGAGACGAGCGCAGGCGGAGTCCCGCGCCCGCTCGTGGTGTGTTGTCGTCGATTTAATACACGGAATTACACCCGCCGTGACCCCGACCCGACACACGCCCGACCCGCACCCTTTGTCTGTTTGTTTCACGCTTTATAAAAAAAATGATATTGTTATAAGAAAGTAAATAACTAGGAACCCGTATGATAAGATATTAGTGTCAGTCTGTGTATCACGTTTTTTTTTCAGAATGTACATTTGCTATAGGGTTGATATTTGATTGTATGGTCAAGAGCACAGCAAAATTGGCACTTCGGACTTTGGGCCATTGTTATCACACGCGACAGAACAGAATTGAAATATTAAGCCTCCAGCTTGACTTGGTTTTGACCCTGTACAACTTGGTTACTTGCTAGGAGGCGTAAATGGTTGCCACTCAGGATTGTGAAATATTTTTGGGAAGAAACTCGGGGCTGCAAATTTGAATGTGGAACAACTGAAATAAAGAGCTAGCTTTCTTGATAAATTTTGTTATTTTAAATGACAAAGGTCAATGGGGACTTTTATATGGAACATTTACCCATTTACCCAAAACAATAAGCATATTAAGTCATTTGTTTATTATACTATATTCAAATAAAAATAAGTTATAATAAAACTAAAACTATGTTACAATAGCCTACATAACCATTTGCTATCGTTTTACAGCAATAAAAAAGTAGCGGAGTTAGATTTTACAGGCACTATTATTTAGCATAGCAATGCAAATATAACCTAGAAGGAATATGATTTTTAAATGCAAATTAAAAAAATCTCACGCCTTTTTTCGTTCAGGCAGCTTTTTCTTATTAATGCCATCGATAAAAAAATACGTATTATATCGTAGTCCTCGTCCACTGTTCAGTAATTTAGCCAGGAATTATTCGATAATTGGCCGATGCACTATTCGTGTTCAATTCGTTAAGCCGGCGGTGAATAATAACTCAATTCATTGCATTTCATTTGTTTATCCACTTTTGACAGTAATTA